ATAACTATTAAAACATGTTTGAGAACTCAAGGGGGCGAGGGATGGGAGCATAGGGGTGATAATGGGCAAAACCGCAAGGTTCACGGTTTGTTGGGTGGAAGAAGCAGGGGAAGTAAATAGGAAGGATCTGGGCAAAAAAGACGGTAATGATGACCAAGGTCTAATGGTGATTAGTTTTATAAAACATAATGCATGAGAATGATTGTATGAAACAAAACGGGAAACACAATGTATATGAAAATTGTAAGAAAACCAATAAAAAAATTATAATTTAGCTAAATAACAGCCATCTAATTTTTAGAGGAATTTCTCCTTTTCTGTCACTATTATCATTTTGGAAGAAACAGTCAGTGTATATTCTCTATTAAATGGAAATAATACTTTGTTTTCTGTCCATTAATTGGAGAAAGAAGTAAAACATATGGTGACTTCATACCGCACCTGACGGTTCTCACCTGAGGTAGGGATCTCACTTGATGGTCAGCACATGAATCAGATTGATTACATCTGTGGGAAGAATCTTGAAGCTTAATATGAGAGGACAGAACCAGACCAGGTGCCGAGTGTGGAACATACCATCTGTTATTCATGTGCAAGTTCTAATTAAAGCTGAAGAACATTAAAACCAAGAAAAAACAAAATATGACCTTGAGTCTGTTCACCTGAATGAAAAAAAAATCATTTTTTAAGGTTTATGTATCTCTAAAATAGGTTATTTTTTAAAGATTTTAATGAAAGTTTATAAAGAACTTGGATTTCCATTCATTCGTTGTTGCATACTTTCCTCCCTGTCAACCCTCACTCCAGTTCACTTTTTTATTTGGAAAAAAAGTTCTTTAATTGTTGTACAGTCCAGTCCCTCCTCCCCCAGGGACCACTTTACTATGCAACTCTTATTCTTGTGAGCCAATAATACCTAATCATATATTCCTTTTATACAGTACTCTCTTCGTCTGTTTCAGTGCCATGTATGTAATTTATCCTCTCTTTTCTTAGTTTTCCTCCAACCCCCATGTCAGTTCTGTTTTGTAACAGTGGAATTATGCAGTATTTGTCTTTTTGTAACTGAGATGTTTCACTCAGCATAATGTCCTCCATGATCACCCATTTTATATAATATTTCATGAATTCTTTGTTTTTCAGTGCTGCATAATATTCCATTGTGTAAATTTACCACAGCTGCTCTATCCATTCATTTGTTGATGGGCACTTGGGTTGTTTCCAACTCTTTTCTATTATGAACAAATCTGCAATATATCTGTGCATGTATCTGCTTGAGTGGTGGTTGTGGTTTCTTTGGGGTATATTCCCAGTAGTGGAATTGCTGGGTCAAATGGTATTTGCAACTTTTTGAGAAAGCACCATACAGCCTTCCATAGTGGTTG